TAAGCTCTAGGCACCTGATTCTCCTAATGTCATCTTTTTTCCATAAAAAAGTGTTTTAAAAATGTACTTTTGGTTGAATTAGTAGTTTCTTGCAGGTCCACGACGTGCAAGCAAGTTTGATGGTGGCAATACACATCAATATGGAATATATCTCAACTCTTCGAAGAAATTTGATGCATTTTCAATATCATTTTGGATCACAATGTCCGATGATGTTTATTACGAGACCCAACATGCATCGATAATATCCTATGCTTTTAAAGAAAAAGGCCAAGTCAATGCAAACGCTCCTTTATTTCTTATCTTAAACAAGAAGTTGTCTATGTTTTTCCTTGGCCCAGATATTAGGTATACAGATGTTAGATTTCACCAAAAATATAATTCATTTTTTAAGAAATTACTTCGAGATGCAGAAGGAGATAGAAATGCACCTTTTTCATTTTCATGAGTTATTGACATCTTTTGATTTTTCAAAACCCTATAGTATCTCCTCAACAAAAAATGTTATTGGTATAACAAAAAAGACTTTAGAAAGCGGAAGCTAAAAGATATGAGATGCTTTCCATCTTTTTATGGTTAATTTTCGACTTGAAATGTTAGAAATTTTTGTACATCTTTTAGAACTGACATTAGTGATATATTTGATGGAAAACAACATCATATTATGATCACGTGGCAAAAGGTTGATGGACGAATGATCATTTACAAAGACGGCGAACAAAAATATTCAAATATAGTTGCAAAAGATCGAACGCTTCTAGCAGGAGGAGTGTGGGTGGTTGGACAGGATCAAGACACTTTTGGTGGAGGATTTCAGATTCGTAACTGTTTCAAAGGAATAATAGATGCTGTATACATATGGGACAAAATTTTATCGATTGATGAGATAAAGCTACTGGCAAAAAACTGCAATGCATATTTAAGTGGATACAGTATTGGTTACCATGACTTTGAATTTACTAATACTACTAATCGTGTTAAGCCAGCTTGCTCCATATAAACATTACAGCTTTATTCCGTTCATTTTCTGATATACTATTACAACTTGTAGATATTTCTATAAATTTAACTTTGTTTGAATAAATTTATATGTTAAGTTAACATATAACGATGCTTCATGATGTAAGTAGGTTAAATTTGCCATTTTAATTGCATTATATAGAATACTTGATATAATGATGTTTCTTGTGAAGTGTGCTACAAAAACTACAATAATTCATGATGATGTACAAAACGCGATATTTTTAAAAAATACGTCATCACTGGAATTTTAAGTGGCGTTAAATTTTTTTTTAATTAAGATGAGTAGTATAATATACATTACTATTTGTTTGAACTTGCAAGACATTGATGATCTGTTAAGATAGTGACGTTAATTGACACTTATACTGTTGTAGCTACAACAGATCTCATTCCGATCATTAAATGCATTGATTGACTAACAAAGGGTAAGGTACCTATGATCTCGTTCAAGTGAATTAAGTGAAGATGTTTGATGCACACGTTTAGTTTATAAGAGTTGTGCATAGTGCACCAGCTAAGAGTTTATTATTAGGATTTTCGACCATCATGTTTCATTAAACGAGTAAAAATAATAGTAGGGAGAAACTTTTAATAACATATAAACACAGAAAATGTCCAAATGCCAAGCCGCTTGGAGTTGAGAAAACTAAGCTGCCGTTCGTTTTGGCAAAATATACGGAAAATTTTCTATAAAAATGCACGTTCAAGATTATACATCAGTAAAGACGATAAACGCCTGAAATGAAGCCTTAATGAAATCAAATTTCACTTGAATCTTTAAAATTACTTCTGAGTTGGGAAACTTCAGAGTAGAGAAACTTCACACCAGTTTCTGTAACATCCTTTCTAACAAAATTTTAGAGTCCTTTCCCAATAAATGACTTTTGAAGTCAATCAGCAATCTAATTGACAATAAGCAATTTCGGGGGGATTAAATGACCTAATTCTTAATTTGTACACATTTATATTTTCCATAAATGGTATAAATATATGGACGCACCAGACACCTTAATTCTAAATTGGCACTCATTTATATGTTCCTCAAAATTTGTGAACATGTTGACACACCAGGCGCCTGCACGCGTACATGTACCTTTAAACAGAATTACATGATCAAAACATTGTGATGCAAAGCCAAAAAGCATAGAAATCAACCAAGTTCTCATTAATTGGACTGCAAATTTTCTTATAAACCGCAGATAACTCACATAAACTGGGACCAGCTTTTCGTGTTTAGGCGAAGTCATTGTTGGGCATTTCCCAGAAAACAAAAGTAAGTGCTTGTTATTGCAGATCATGGCAAATGATCTTGATATTTCAGAAGAATTAATTAAATTTCTCGACAACACTACATTAAAAAATCATAACCAGGTCTTTCATAAAATTTACGAGTGCTCTAATTGGGCTGTAAAAAACACTATGAAATTTAATCAAAGAAACTCGAAAATGTTTTTCAAACTTTAAATCTCCTTCTCCATCCATCATTATTGTTAATGAATACGATGTTTGCATTGTGACACATTAATTCACTCGGGCTAAAAACGTCAAATGATTTGAAATGGGATCTTTTGATCGATCATATATGCAAGAAATGACTAAAGCGTTTTTACGCTCTGAGTTGCGTGTGGATTTGATGGTCATGCGTTTACAGCGTGTATTAAACTGATCATGGAATATCCTTGCCAAGGACTGCACTTTGTCAGCTTCAATATCTCTTAGATCAATTGTTAATTTCCACTATGACTATGCAATGACGAACGCAGGGTCCAACCCTTATTTTTGCAGAAACAATATGGAAGAAAGCATGTGGCCAAATGCTTACAAACACTGCACACAAGCTACACTCCCTGACTCCATCTTAGCAAATTATAAATTATTCCCTTCAATAACAGGCAAAAAAATGAATTATTCAATTCCTATGTGCAGAACTGATAAATTGAAAACATCTTTAACACCATTGCATGTAAATATTCAAATATGGAAGTTCAAGTACTTCGTTTATTGTACAGAGCTGATAACTTATTACATATTACCTTTATTTTTTCATTTTCATATAGATCTGTAGCTATTTCATATGACTTAAAAATATTTTTACTCAAAGCTGACGTTAGAACTTATCTTTATTATCTAAATTCGTTCACACAAGCTCGATATATTATTGACTTGAAATACATTGCAGGAAGGAGAACATAAGTAAATAAGAGAATATGACATGTCTACATCATTGAACAAATTACGTGGAATGCTACCTGAAACAAATAATTGAAGCCAAATTTTACACCCAGACACGCGCGATTACACTCAAAGACGCGTATTTAGTGTTTCGAGACTCTCTCGCGGAGTAAAAATTGACTAAACTACACACGCTTGTGTGGGTGAAATGATCAATAACAGCGGGTATTCATAAATTCCTTACACGAGATCCTGACGACGCCCGTATGTACTAACTAGTTTTTGTTATTTAGCAATGCAAGATTGATTAAATTAGGCTTTGACTGCTATTTCACATAACTTTATATCCCATTATGCGACAATTGTGTTCCCGAAGATTGAAAAGTTATCTCATTAGGAGATTTTGATGGCGTAGTTTGTTGTCAAAGCTTTTCCTTACAATTTTTATTTTTTACCACGAATGACGTCATAACGTAAATCCCAAATACAATCTATTTGTTAAATATACGAATAACAAAATTGCAAATAAATGAATTGTAACAAGTTTCAAATGGAAATTGCTCTCTGTATTCTAATGGATAAATAACCATTATTTGAAGACTGAGTTCAAAGAGGCCCTGATGTGCAGGACTAAAATTAAAGCAGATTTGACAATTGATTTTCGTGGTTGAAAACATTTATCCTCACTTTCCTATATAGCCTAACAATTCCATCCTGATACGAAAAAACAACCCGTACTTATGGATAATTGTTATTCATAACTATAAACAATAATACCCAAGTGGTTGAAGCTGTTTCTATAACGGAAGACACAACCCGTAACGTCAGTCATAAAGATCAGATAAGTGCATGTTATTTGCAGTCGCATAGCTAAGATCTTCACTGTTTGTAAACGTCTTCTTCACTTAAAAGAATTTAAAAAAAATGGCTGGAGAAAGTCAAGCTGCAGCCATTTTTAATTTATGAGATCATAATGAACTAGGCAATAAAAACATTGCTCTTCAATCGTATAACTGGAGGGAAGGGGCTGTAAATTCATATAATCATTTGTGCCATACTGATTTCTTTCGAAAGTGGCACAAGTGTATGTATAAATATTCACACCACTCAAACTATCGTTCAGGCTTCGGCCTAGCAAGAAGGTTTTTCTCGATTACATGGTAGAGAGGTACTATACATACCATGCAAAGCTCATTGATCACATGCTAAACGTTTATAGGAGCGCAACGAAAAAGAACCTCACAGAGAAAGCAGAAATACCTTTACGTACTTCTACATCATACGGCAATGTTGATAATGTACAACACAAATAAAAACAAGTCTTTACTGTGAAAAAAATATTATTAGTTTTTTTTTCATTTTTAGATACATATATGTCATACCATATTTACTAGTAGTACAAAAACAAAAAACTACATTAACAGTCGTTTTATAATTTTGGCTGACTATTTAAAGATAACTATTGTGTTCAAACATTAAACTAAGCAAATAAGTTCAGTTTTTCTTGGTACTTGCAACCGTGTTATATTGTCAAACCAAATGTATTGATGAATTTCATATTACACTTTGTAACTTTCTCGTTCCCATCCTGCACGAATTTTCTTTATTCGTTTATCCAAACATGGCATTAGTAGGATAATCTTTAAAATAACAATGACATATCCAATAAGAATGGTCAAAACAGTGGGATAAAAAAGGTACTGTACTTTCCATCTATGAAAACCTGTGTAAGCATAGATTGTGAAATGAAGAAGAGAAAATATCAAAGAAAAATAACCGAGACCAGATTGAACAAAATTCCACTCTCTCCAACTCATGCGATTGAGGACAGTAGGAAGTGACGTGATACCCAAAATAGACAAAGCGGACAGTCCCAGGACTCCAAGGGTCAAGAACGCTTCTCCTTGAGCAGTCATTCTTCCATAAAGACGAGCTGTTACGTTGTTGATTTGAATAAATTTATCTTGATAAAGACGTGATTTATATTCAGGACCCCAATAAAGTGTTGACATACAACCATGCATTGCAGCCAGTAACAATGCCAGCAAACCAAGTTGTTTACGAGCTTTCATCCAAATGTCAAGCCAGTTAGGAAAACGACGATATTTGGTACCTTTAAAAGAATCATTCATGGTATATAAAGAGATTTAAACTTAAGAATTTGATAGGAAATATAAATTACCTAATTTGGGTCAATTATTACAAATGCTATATTAATATTGCAAACATAATAATTTTATAAAAAAATTATATTACTTGTGTAAATTTGCAATGGGATAAAAGGATAAAAAACTTCATAAAAATAACAGATGCTCTCTAAATAATTTAAATGTTAACATTTATCACCCATAATTTATAAATAGTTTGTACCCTGCCTTTTTTGTATACATAAAGAATGGTCTAACTGACGTCATCACATACTTTATAATGCTAGACTTTTTTAAGTTCTGACAGGGTGCATATATTCGATACAGCTTGCCCAATTACTTTAAAAATAACTTAATGTTTGTGCTATTAATTTTGTTCTTTTTATGCTTAAATTTCATGCAATCAAGAACACGCCTAAACTTTTAGTTTTTATCGACGAATTGTATGAGCTGTTATTTAAAATATATATACATTGCGTATTAAGAAAGAAGAGGTCCAACAAATTAAGTTAAGTTGTTTTACTTCTAATATGGTCCAAGCCAAAAAATGAGTCGTTTTTGCTTTTGATACTGATGAGCAAATTTGCCTATAAATTTATTATTTAAGTGTCGAATCAATGAAAACGTAAAACACTAACAAACGTTAGTAGATCCTTAGTTAAGTTGGAAGATGTTTGGAGATAGAAGGTAAAAGGTTGGATATATATAGATGACACCAATAGAAAGAAGTCTATTATTATAATAAGAAAATGAAATATTTGATAGCAAAATTTTTGTTTCATTTCAGCTAAATTTCATTAAATTTGTCATGACTATTTTTAGGTTTGGTAAATGTGTCAACCACTAGTCCAGCAATGATCAACATAAAGACTCAAATGGTTTGTACTAGATTTAAATGTCAAATTACTTAACGTAAGTACACAGCAAGTTCGCAAACTCTGTTCCATTACAACTACTTGTGGTTACTTAAGAAAATGTTATCATCATCCCCTTAAAAATGTCATTTCTACAATGGCTTAGTGACATACTTGTGCTTGCACCTTAAAAGTATATAATATTAAGAATATTTTCAGGAAGTTTGCAACTTTTGGAATAATGAAATTGAACAATAAATAAGACATAAATGTTTAATTAAGTTTGTTATCTGAATGTTTTATGCAGTGCGGTGTTTGAAATTAAAACATTCATACGACATTCCTTTCACGAGAAAACATCAGCCCAACAATATTGACCTGCTCACCACTGTGTGACTTCATAGCTCAGTTGGTCAGAGCACTGCACCGGCACCGCAGAGGTCAAGGGTTCGAATCCCGTTGAGTCACCTGATTTTTTCAGGTCCTGAGACGATTGCTTAAATTGTCCAGCAAAAGTGTGAAGATCATATCTTCATTTAAGTTTGTTATCATTGCAGCAAAACTAATTTATAACGTGAACATAATTTCCATTCAATTTGACTGACTAAGTAAATTTATTTTCATTAGCAGTTTACTATATTTAAGATAAAGTTAACAATGTTCTTTATGGAAAGAGCTAATTTATTTGCATTTTAGGCTTCAAAATTATTTCTACGTTCTATTCAAGTAAGAAAGGCAAGGGTATTTGCCATTATATCAATATGAACAGCGCTAGCATCACAAAAATATATAAAACTTAGGTTTACGGAAACTGGGTGTTATCATTATCTTTGTCGATATAAGAGCACACAAAATCTTTAAATAAGCATTTGCGTAAAAGCGAAGTTTTCAGATCAACCTAATTTTAAAAACAACTTTTGTAAAATTGAATGAATCGTTTTCTTGGATTCTATGGGTTTTAAGATTTTAACTACTTTCAGAAATAAATAGTTTTTAGATTTTACAATAATTGAATAAGAACAATTTCGTTTAACATATTTTTTTAAATATTTTGATATTTTTTATTTTTACCGATATCACAGATATCACAAAATATTTCGTGTGAACGTATTTCTTTTTTAAATTGATACATGATTCTGGATACAAAATTATACTTGATGTTTAAAATCAATAAATACGTTGAAAAATATTATTTTAAGAAATCTTTGCTTAAAAATTGTAAATAGAAAATAGTCAGTTACTTTTTGGTCTTTTACTTATTATTGTAAATTTCATGCGATTTTATGGCGCAATATCAATCGCTGTACATGTACCTACGAATTTAGCTGATCATCGTAACTTATTATAAAAAATCGAGGTTGCGTACTTCACTCCACCACAAATTTTAGTTAGTCATATGAACTAAATGCCAGTTTATGTATTACCGTAATCAGCTGCAAAATAGCTGCAATGCATCCTGGGAGATAGACCAGATCCAAAAGTCCAATAACAGTGAATGCATTAAGTAAACTGAAACTTCTTAGTGGAAAGTTGGTAAAGGGTATCTTCCGTATTACGTAAGCCAATATGAAATACAGCCACATAATCAAGTAAAGAATTCCAAAAATTATCATCGATGCTCGCCAACTGGGAAACAATTCCAATGGCTTTCCTTCAATAGCTTGGGCAACCTGTAATGACCCTTGATCAAATGGGATGAACTGCATTGCTCGAGATATTTGCATAACCTAAATGAAAACGAAACATAAATTGATGATGAATAGATGAATTGCCTTTTTATGTGTAATAACAATAAAATTTAAAATCAAGAAGCAAAGAAAGTTTATTTTTATATCTATTGTGTAAAATAATTTTTGTTAACATTTCTGTTTAGTAAATAATCAAAAATACAAATGAAATTCCTAAAAAATAAACAATTAATTTGAAAAAATGGTAAACATTAATTAGAATAGAATATTAAAATAATACAACAATTACTTTTTCCTTTGCTTCAGCCTCATCACCACATATGAAAACAGTCCGACTTCCTCCATAAATATCTTGTTCCAATGCCCATGCAGATATCACATTAAAGCCTTTCACTACGCGTGCTTTAGGTATTAGACTGGATAAATACTCCGCATTTGATATTCCATTGAACTTGTTTTCTGTTCTATTGCTTACATCCACTACAATTTTACCTGAAAAAGGAAAAAGGCTCATATTAAAAAATATTTTTCAAATTTCAGTGCTATTAAGTGGCAAAGCCAGCTTGAAAAATATAATTCATATCGTTTTAAAAAAAATGTTTTCTTAGTGAGTGAGCACTAGAGCATTTATAAGCGTTAGCATTACTAAATCAAATAAATAAATACTATGTCGTCCAATAGTTATTAGTTTCCTACTTGCATATAATTTAAAAAAATCATTCTTGTTCATAGATTTTCCATAGTTATTTAGGTTAATACATACATTGATGATTGGTGCAAACAGCAAAGATACAGTAGCGGGTTAAAAGGATATGTGAAGGTAAAAAATAGGTTATTACAGCTGACCAAAAACAGGGCGCATCTTTGTTAATGCTGCATAAAGCATCTTATATGAAGATTCCTCTTAAAATCACCTACAATGATTTAAAAGCAATTAAACTCTTACACTGAGAAAAAGGCATTTTTTTAAAAAAATGGAATTCAATCGTGAAACTAACTACGTACAGCGAAGGACTCCAAAGCGTCCTTCGAAAGATTTTCTTTCCTGTGATGTCATCTTTTTCAATTATAAGACATGAAGATAAAAGTTTAAGACAATATATTATATTATAAAGACATAATCAATGCGTTAGTGTCAACCTATACTGTAATTAACGTAAGCAACTACGACTAATATGAACTATAAACTTTTTATCATGTAACACTATATCTACCATTTAATAGAACACCACATGATTTCATCATACTATCGTATCCATTCTGAGGAATTGCAAGAAAAATGACATCCGAGTGCTCAAGCGCTTCTTTAAGAGATAATATTTTGAACGATGATAAATGTGAAGATCTTTGGCGTTTAGTTGGATTCCTGCTGCCCATGATGACATCATAACCAGCCAATAAGAGTCGTCTAGTTAAAGCTCGACCAAAGTCTCCTGTGCCAAGGACGGTAATTGGCTCCCCTGCTTCTTTTTCTAACATTAAATTTGATGACATTTCAAGATCTGTATTGCTGTTGTATATAACTTCGCCCATTTTAAGCAAGAGTGACCGATTTCTGGTTATCTGAATGAAAACATTTAACAAAGTTTGAGTAGGCTTTTTTGATGGAACTAAACTCGAATGAGTCACAATGCATGAATTAATTTCCAAATGCTTTGTACAGTTGTGTAACTAGTAAAAAAATAAAGAGAATAAAATAAAACCTTGGAGCAAGCTACCTAAGACATTATTAAAAACTATTTTTTGTCTTAAAAGTTGATATAAACCATTTGAAGCCAACTTCTTCCGAATCTTTACTGATAATTTCCTATCATTCTACTATTCGTTTCTTATTTGAGTGGATTGGAAAATAATATAACGAATTCATAACTTCATTCTTATCTAAACCTGAAGTGGCCGCTGACGCACAATTTCAACATCGTTTTAAAATAAGCCAATCAAAAACTGCGCATCATCGAGAACCCATCCACATGTATACGGTATTTTGAAAACGGGGTTTTCCTCTGTTTTGGCCGAGCGTCCACACGTAAACGGCATTTTGGTGACCATAAACGGAGATTTTCGAATACGCTCTCCCGAGTGAAGACTTTGGTTTTGTGTTTACGCGTGGACGGACGAAGGCCGTGGTTTTTGAAAATGATGACGTAAATAATGGGCTCCAGTCTCATTAATTAGTCAAACGAGTACTATTTAAAATGGAGAGTTGCAAGTGCGTTGCTATTTTATTTAGAATAACTTCAAATTTGGGAGTCGTATGCAGAAAATGGATAACGTTTTTCTACTTTCACGGCAATCTGTGTCAAAAATCGTCCGAAAAATGTGTAACGTCATAACAATTTATCTCGGTCAAAACTCTATGAAACTTTCAAGGACAGAGGAAGAAGTAAATTGTCTGGTAAAAAAAGTTCCACAGTACGCACGATTTCCCTTAATATTTAGAGGCAATTGACGGAACCTACATAAAAATTAGGCAGCCTAATACATACTCAACAGATTACATCAATTGTAAGTGTCGTTATAGCTTTAAGGTTTAAGCTGCTTGTGACTATACTTATTGTTTCATGGATGTTGTTGTCAAATGGCCCGGGAGTATGCATGATGCTAGAGTATTTTCATACTCTAGTCTAGATTCCTCCTTTTAGAGCAGAAAACTTCCTCCATGCAAACGAACAATCCTTCCTGATGTAGATCCTGTGCCAGTATTTATTCTGGGAGATCCTGCATCTTCACTTATGCCGTATGTTATGAAGGAATATTCAAATGGTGGTCAACAGTTCAAGAACAATACTTTGGTTTAACCTTGTGCAAGGTTCGCATGGTAAATGAATGTTCCTTTGGCCGCATTAAAGCTAGATTTGGAACAATGAATGAGCTACCATGTGTCATTTATGCATGTTTTGTGCTGCATAATTACTGTGATATAAACAATGAAAAGATTGTAGAAGAGAAGGTTACCTCTGCCATTAATTACGATAGAGAGTTTCAACCAGCTGTTGTTGGTAACAATTTCACCATTAATTGCAATGAAAGTGAATGTAAAAAAACAAGAAGGATTTTGACCAAGTACGTTGATCCTTGAGAGTCTGATGTGTTTTACAATTACAGAACAATTTGCAGCAACACTTCTTGTAAATATACTTATAATAGATTGAAATTGATAGCTTTTCCAAGATTGACCTTGACACAGCATTGATATATTGCTTTTTAATTTAATTATGGAATATAAGAAAGGTTTTTTTTGAACATAACATTAATCTACTTAGCTATGGGGTTCATTTAATTATATACATTGCTTCAAATTGTGCCATTAATGCTGCCTTTAGAAAAAATAAACTGTGCAAATATATTTTTGTATTTTTTTATGAATAATTGGGGAACACATCTGATTGTTCAGGCTATCTTGGTTGTAAAGTTGTCAAGTTGTATTTATCATGAATACTTGTGTGCATTGTGCATAATTATTTGTGCATAAATTAGGTTTGAAGCCATGTGGATGTCTCCATTATGGTAGTTAAGAAATGCTGCCATTTCATCAATTTTTTCTAGATTCATACTGAGATTTTTCTTTTTCATTTCTCTTGTTTGTAGCCCCTTATCAAGTAATCTCCTGCTCTTCTCCGGAGGTCTCGATATTGTCTGCTTTTGTAAGATATCGCTCTCAAAGATTATTGATGATGCAGGACTCAAAGCAGTTGAAGATGAATTAATTGAGTCTATTGTGATGTCTGCATATAATTGGTAACACTTTGGTAAAATCTTGTTTGTTATGGGGAAAATCTTTTCCGATATCATTGGCGCTTTCTGCTGATGGATATTGCTACTTAAATAAATCGAGTATATCAGAGTACTTGCTCTGACAAGATTTCCAGTCGATGTTCTCTGTGGTTTGTTCAACCTTGTATTCCTCCGCAACTTTAAGGAGAAGCTTGACCTTATCATCAGTCCAAATATAAAATTCGACTTTACCTTTTCCTTTGGTGGAGCCCTTATTTAACTTGGCCATTCGAATTTTTATTTAAACATACGAAATCAAACAAACAGGGTGCCCCACGATGCCAAAGGCAAAGAGATGTTGATAAATAGCACCGAAATTTGGATGCTGCAAAAGCTTGATAGTCTCTTGTCACAAGTAAATACGCATGCTCTGTGCTTAGAACTGTTAAATTTCCTTCGTTTTTGCGCAGACGTGTACACAGGCGAAAACAATTCGAATACGCTACATGTGGACGCAAATCTCTTCAAAAACGGTGAAAAAACCTCCGTTTTCAAAAATATCGGTATTCTCGAGGATGGGGCCTGAGTGATACACTAACAATTGTAAATGTAGTCTATTTTATTAATTAAACCTTAAGAATGCAGATGGTCGAATTCACAATGACTTTTGTACATGTGTGTCTATGGTTAAGACAGATAAACCTTTAAAGAATTCAGTTTAGTGGTAATGAGCTATTTTTTTTACAAAGCTTTTACTTAAGGAAAAGAAAAAGCCCGCCATACTTTGAGAAGATTTAATCATCCTCATCAAAACAATTTAAAGTTCCAGAATAAACTGTGTTAACACTTGACCGGACGTTGATAATCACAATGAGGCATGAACAATGTTAAAAACACAGTAAATATGTTAAATTTTAAGCCACTTATCATCATTCTCCTGAATGACTGCTCGTGATTCAACGAGCTGCTTCTTGCTTAAACAGGAAATCGAAATATATTGGTCTCCAGCTGAGCTTAGAAGAAACATGTCAAGGGCTTAAGATTTATATGTCGCCACCAAAGACTAATACCCTTATCTGAATTGTTTGTGTTATCCATGAAATGGTGACTAAAATAAATATTTCAACTAAATTTCACAAGAAAAGTAAATACTTGTGATCCATGCAAATGAGGCATTGTTATGACATTTTACACAATCGTTTATCAAAGAATGATATTATCAGTGCCGATATTGCACCTCATCTGAATGTTAAGTTAAGCAAATAAACATGTCACATGTGTCCAATAATGGTTTAATTTGATACAAGAATGGTTGTTGAATAATTTCGTATAAAGAAGCGTAGAACTTTCTCGAATATCGTATGTATTTTTTAGAAAAATTATGCATTGCAATGCAAACTGATTGAAATCAGCACTAGAGGGCTGTTTAAACGAGCCCTACCAAGCGAGATATCGTAAGATCTACCGTATTATCAGTGTACCCCTAACACACGAGATCTCGCTATTGTTTATCTGAGATCTTGCCATATATAGCTAGAAATTTCCCGTGTCAACGTATATGGCAGGGATGTATAGCTCTCCTTGTAGCGCTGAAAATGTAATGCATTAGCATGCGATAAGACATCGTTTTTGTGTTATTGCGAACAGAAGTCATTAACGGGAGCAAACAAAGTAAAAAATCATAAAAACAAAGGCTACATCTTATTTTGGTTTGTTTTCAGATATTTTGTACATTAGCGTCGAAACTCGCTGCTCAAGCCGAGCTATTGATCTGGGGCCAGATAATGCCCGTAAAAGTACAACCCTACAGGGAGGGCTACCCCTTTCCGTATGGCTCATTTAAACAGCCTTTTAGTCTGCTCGACACATTTATAGATATTCTATAATAAACTTTAATTTAGGAAAACATTTCTCTTCGTGAAGACTTTGGAGACAATGTAGCAAAATCACATCACTTGTGGCTTAGACAACAGGGATGAATTTACTGTTCATGTCAAACAAATTACAATCTACATAAATAGAGTTGGGATGAAAACAATAAACTATAGCTGAGTAATGAAAATCAACATACGCGACCATATGTAAGACTTAGACAAAATACGAATATTTCCATGATATTCCTGTACAATGTCATGCGACTAAGAATATATCCATGTATCCACGGATTTCTTTATCAGTTTTTGTTCAAGATAAAAAATAGTCAGACGAAAAAAGTCAAATCAAGATCAAATTGATTCTTAGAAATTATGTATATGACAAAGCGTAATGAATCACAACAAATACAGACACAAAACTCTCCTTTCAAAATAGAAAGATATATAATCAAATAGCAAAATTGTCGAAAATCCTGATAAATTACCTTTATAAGAATCTGGACTTTCGTCAAATTGGGATTTCAGCTCTTTACCCAAGCACACAAGCGGAAGTTTGAGTGCTGATAATGAAACAAGCTATTTTTATATCTAGCGACTATTTGGAACGAAGTCAACAAGAATTGACAGATGCAACAAAGACCATGGAACGAGAATGTGAATATCAAATATCAAATAATATTCAACTAGTTTTCATCGATATATTATATCTAAATTCAGAGTCCCGTCTTTTTATTTTACACCATATAAGAAATCAAGCAGTCTGATCAAAGATCTTCTTGTTAAAGAGCCTTTTTTAAGATATTAAGCTATACACAACTCGCAATTGCAAAATAATCAATAGAGAATTATGCCAAAATTGCCCTATCCTAGCATTCAATAGTCATGCTAATACTTTGCAATAGACAAAAAATTATAATTTTGAATGGTGTAAGATGTATGGAAAGTAAAGTTGAAGCTCATTAAGAACATTTATTTCTTTGTTCAACGACTTCCTTGAATATAGTGTCAGATAACATATGACCTTCCATAGAAAAAAATGAAATTTGAGGCGAAGTATTTATGTAGTCTGTAAACAGCTCACAGGCAAATGACGCATATAACATCATGTTTTTCACGTCACTGCCTGCAAAACGTTTCAAAATTTCTTGATTTTTGAACACCTAATCGCATATTGGGTTATTTCAGAACAACAAATTATATAAGTGTTTGAGTGATCTTATCTTTTCCTGAACAGACCTTATTAGAAGTCATGAGTTTAATACAAGTGGTATTATAAATTTAAGCACTCCGTAATCATTCTCGAGGTTTTAAATTACACAAACATTGAAATTAATTCGTCTTCTATATCTAATTGAAAACATTTTCGGCAAGTTCGTACATTTCTTTTGTTTTCTTAAACATTCATCGATTCAAAAGCTTTATTTACTTTGTGCATGATGGAGGCCGAGGACAAATTGGGCATTCACGAAAAATTTAACAAGCAGTACAAGTAGAAAATAAGATTAAAGGCTTCAAACAGACGACTTACCTTAACACAAAGTCACGAAGCAAAATCCATGAAATCGATAGGAGATAAACACGTTTATAAAATGACAGCAATATAAGGCATGTGCTGACTTGTCAATAGTTGAGTTAGCATAAGCTGTGCAAAGAAATCTGAGCTCACTAATTAATCAATAAAGAGAATTTACAAATCAATTATCAACACACGTTGGAGAAAAAGTTAACACGGAGGTTTTAAAGTTATTTGTTTCGCATGAAATTATTATTTTATAAGAAAAACTTTGCACATGAACCTGTGCAAATACAGCAAAGATCTTGTATTTCTTAAGTAAAAACGTCGAACACACTATTTTGATGGTAAAAATACTCACGCGGAAATGCATGCACACAAATAATGATAATTTTTCGTCAAAGTATAGCTGCCAAAATGCTGCACAAAGAGCAAAATACAACTTCCCTTTCTTATGATATTTTCATGCAAATCACTTTTCTATGATCTATTTCTTTTCCTGAATACTCAGTAATTTTCAGAACATCAATTAACCTAATGCTCGGTTTCAATATAATCTTCTCCAGTATTGTTTAGCTCAATGTTACGCCTTCACGCTAATGCATGTCACATGACTGTGCTCACATGCTCACACACAGATTGTTCATGCATTTCGATTGCGTACAACCGCTTCAGTAATTCAGAATCTCACGTACAAAGATGTAGTTTAGAAAAGCTCCTCTAAATGGAAAACGTATTTTACCTCCTTTTATAACTGAGTATGAAGTTTATTGTAGGAAATACATGTGATTGTAATTGGTGAATTTGTACGTCCGTGAGTATAACGTATCTCAGTGTTCTGTAACAGTACGTCCGTGAGTATAACGTATCTCAGTGTTCTGTAACAGTACGTCCGTGAGTATAACGTATCTCAGTGTTCTGTAACAGTACGTCCGTGAGTATAACGTATCTCAGTGTTCTGTAACAGTACGTCCGTGAGTATAATGTATCTCAGTGTTCTGTAACAGTACGTCCGTGAGTATAACGTATCTCAGTGTTCTGTAACAGTACGTCCGTGAGTATAACGTATCTCAGTGTTCTGTAACAGTACGTCCGTGAGTATAATGTATCTCAGTGTTCTGTAACAGTACGTCCGTGAGTATAACGTATCTCAGTGTTCTGTAACAGTACGTCCGTGAGTATAACGTATCTCAGTGTTCTGTAACAGTACGTCCGTGAGTATAATGTATCTCAGTGTTCTGTAACAGTACGTCCGTGAGTATAATGTATCTCATTGTTCTGTAACAGTACGTCCGTGAGTATAATGTATCTCAGTGTTCTGTAACAGTACGTCCGTGAGTATAATGTATCTCAGTGTTCTGTAACAGCACTTTGCTCATCCTTGAAATAACATATTGTGCTGCAATGATTTTGCTACTTGATAATAAGTAAAATATAGAGCTTCGAATAATGTATTTGACATGATAAATGATGGGGAAGTTACATAAAAGTAATGTTAAAAACTTAAATTATTGAAAAACTAAAAATTTAAAAGTATTTGTATGATTTGCTTTAGTTTTAATTGAAGCAAACGTTGCACCCGATGATAATTCTGCCAAAATGTATCGTGTCATTTGAAATCTTTGTTTAACAATTGAAAGATGCTAAATAAAATGTTTTGTTGCAGTGAGATCAGAGTTGCTTACTTATATAATGACCGTAATTGGGTTTAATGTCGTCCCTACAGATGTAACAGTTGATTTGCTCTTCCCCGTCTGTCCTATAGAGCGTTTTCATCATGCAGTCGTCATGATGGGGTAAAATCGCATATAATGAAAAGATTTTATGTTCTTACATGCTCTGTTCAACATCGGCACTTTGATGTTCTTCCCAACATGGCTGCTTTGACGTCACATGCAAACACTCCATTTCACTTTATTCACGCATTCTATTATAGCACTCAGTTTTACAGGACTCTATTGCAAGACACGTGAAAAATAACGTAATGACTTGTACACATTTAAGTTAACTGGTTAAGTCAGGCCAATTCAATGTGGGTGTTGTATTGAAGATTGATTTTTGATTTTATGTAATAAGTTTGAAAAACAAGCATTGAAGCAGCAGCGAGAACCAGTGGCGGATCCAGTGCACGTCAAAATAAATTGGAGCTCCTCCATTTTAAATACAAATTACATTCAGAAAAACACTGTTGGTTTTCATTTTCTAAAAAATATAATCTTACAAATGGATTAGCGTCTGAGGTGTTTAAAAATGTAAATATACCCAAAAATGTGCTGAAGGAATTTATTTTGACGTACTCTATATCCGCCAATGTCGAGAACGGTCAAATATAAATTAAACTTGTAATGGATACAGCTTACGCGAATATAATATTTAACTTGCAGTGTACTGGACACAAAACTGAAATAAAACTGTGTCGATTCAATACATTTTTTCTTTGTTATAGCCTCCTTCTGTCTGAAATTTGCATTTGTCTCAAACAACTTGAAGGTTACAGACGTCGAGCGATAGGTGGAAGACTAGTAATGGGCAACTGCTTTCTAGATTCACTCAAATCTCATTTTGGTTTTCGAAACATGTCGTTTCCAAAATACTAATCAGCTTTACGTTGTGCAAACACTGAGTTTATGAACAGAATTAGCCATGCAAAACGGTCAATGAGCTCTATTACGCGTAAGTAAACTATGGAAAAGCATTCAAACATCTGTTGATCACGGAAAGTTCTTTTAACGCGCATGAATTCTACACGTACGCAGCATGCATCCCGCACGTTCGCATTTTTGGCAATATAAATGGTCTAAAACTTTCACACCTTCATGCATGGCAAGAAACTGCTGGAAGTGTTAAAACTGAATAATAATTCAATTAATTGAATAAAGATTTTTTTCTCCTAATCATTTCTATATAAACAAAATCGCCAATCTTACATTTATATATAAACTAGTATGCAAGCGTCGTAAATTCATGGAAAAAATTCTATTAAGAAAGCCTAAAAGAAATCCATTGAAGAAAAATTGACAAATATGAAATATGTAATAGAGTAGCTGAAAATTGACCTGTTCTTCATACAGTAAAATTACAACGTGAAAATTAATAAATCTTATTCCGATTTACTTTTGCTTTCTTTCTTAAATATTGTCAATGGTGACAATGATGTCACAGTGTTATAAGTCGCTCCTATAGCAGAGCCAGTGGTTGACAGAACACCCCCGGCAACCCACGTGACACCACCATACGCAGTTCCTGCAGCAAACATGGTTGTGTTGTAAACAGTACCCGATAACTTTCCCAAAATTCCTGATGGTTGTTCGTCAGTTGATAATTTTTCACACGAATTTTTTTCCACCTTCTTTAAGAAAAAAATACGTCATAGAGTTAAAAAGCCATATCTAGAAGCTTCCGAAGAATTTGGTCATATTATTGAATAAAAGCAAAAGACGTAAATTGAGTGTTAATTTTCAAACTTATTTCAAAGCCATCGTCATACATCTAAAGTCATCTCATTGTAATGATAAAAATAGATCGTTTGTTTTTTTGCTTTCTTACACAATGGAGTGAAATAGTTATACAACGTAGCATTAAGTCATTTAAAGTTCACAATTGCTCAGTTCTCGTAGCGCTGAAAATAACTTTTAGAGTCATCTTTCATCAAAAAACTGTGAGCTTTCTTTGAAAATTCTTTGAACTTAACCCTTCACATGGCAGTTTGGCAGGTCTAGATTTTTCAAAAAAGTTTAGTCGTATCTCTTTTTATTCTCAAGACATTAAAGTTGTGTGATGTCCGAATTATAGAGAAAGTGAAGTTGCATTGCATAATGGTCGATGAAAATTATAGCTAAATATTCTTATAGTCTTATGCCATTTTTAGGTAGACTTTTATATCATAACAGCCCGCTTTTCATACAATCGTCGAAAAACAGCTGATATTGGCTCAATAATTAAAAGTAAACATGGTTTGACGATCAGGAATGCTGATCGTCGAGATGGAACATGGCTCTACGTCAACGATTCGATTCTACCTGCGCAAATATCGACGGTTTCTATTTTTAAAAGGAGCCGCGAGTAGGAATATTCGACGACTCAACATGCAATGATAGTTATTCATACAAAAAATTTATACTGAAATATGGTCGAAATAAGCATTGCATTTTAATTTTTCAAAATTTGGCCTCAATGAATGAATTTTGCTCTCGTAGCGCACGTTTCTTCAATGATTTATGATTAATGTTTATGTATAGAAACTTGTGTAGCATCTCAAATAGTAAAAAACGCAGTTTTGACCTAAATTTTTTAACGCACTTGCATTTTTGCTCTTGACATTCCATAAGGTCGTTTATTCTGTAATTTTAGACACATTATGCTCCGTTGAAGTTGAACTATGTTTTTAGACACACTCTAAAATGCAACATTTGTGAGTCGTGTCTCTACTGCGACTGGAATCATTATAAAGGGCGAATAAAAATATGTTAAGATTGTAATGATTACAATATCGCCGTGCTAAGCCTTCGGGTGTATAAAGTATAGTCAGCTGCATGGATATAATACAAATCTTTGTCACAAGCACAAAAGCATTTTGCTCCTGGAGATTGAACATAATATATCTAACGGCAAAATTGCACAGTTATGCACAAGTGGAATTGGCGAAGTGATCTGGCATGGAAATTTTACAATAGATTTATTTCATAAGGTATCTATCCTGTATCTATCATGATATAGTAATTAGCTGGAACCATGGTGTCGCCGGGAAGGGATCAGGGGCATGTCCCTCAGTTATTCCAAAGACCGAATTTGAGATTTTAAAAAATATGAAAAGAAACTAAGGGAAGTGTGCAATAAATCCATGCTTCCTGTAAACGGTCACATTGCAGTATAATAAATAGCAACCTTAAAGCATCGTAGTGATAAGATTGCCTGGAACACACTTGTTGTCAAATTTAACAGACAGCTGCCCTTCAATAAACGTGTGGTCTTTAGAAAATCAAATCAAACATATTTTCAAGGTGGCTTGCCCTCGAACCACAGTTAAGACTCACACCTTTGACGGTTGCATTCAGCTCAATCTAGCGACGCCACGGTGTGCGGAAGATCGATAGTTGAGAAGGATCATATTCATATATTTTATTTGCATAAATATAAACATAAATGAACATCAACATCCGTGCGAATATCGAACTTCCATGATCTTAGTATCTATTAAACATCTACATTCTAGTCGAAATGTCTTGAGTCAAGATGAAGTATCACACTCTTTCAAATAATCGGTAAACTTCATTCAAATCATTTTTGATGGAATATAATACATACGTGAACTAAAAAACGTTTCCTTTACTACTGTTGAGCTGGCTATAGTGCTACTTTCTGTAGGTGGAGCCTTTGTATCATGACTGGTAACTGAGGTAACTGCTTTGATGGACAAATAAACGTAGTGACCTTACCCAGTTTTACAAAATGTTCAGCCGCTAATTCTAATTTATTACCATTAATATTTAGTGTATGTTTAGAAAGATGGTTACTCGAGAATTGGTTAGATTGCACAGAAAATTGATAATCTTTGAAAGATATTTTAAGAATATTTAACAATTTATGTATGTTAGTGAAATAAAAATCACAGTAAATAGGAGTTCAAAACAAATATAGCGATACTCATGCTTACGTTGTGATGATAACAAATATTACATTAAAGTCACGCGACATATGAAGCTAAACGTGACGTCTTTAGATAAAAATATAGACTACACTGGCGTTTGTCATTGTCGATTTAAAAATAAAAAAGACCATTTTCAACGATGAAACGTAGAATACTGATGCAGAGATGTTTTGATTAAAATTTCCATACAAACTCGAAGTAATTATGGTTTGATTCAAATATCTGCATGCATTTAATAACGCTTCTTGTGTTACAGTACAATTGTCCTTTGATCAGTAATTCGAAACAGAATAACACAATTTGATAGAAATTTTATAGCCTTGCAAATAAAAGATGATATTTTTAGTATTCAAAAGACATACGCACGAAACTGATATCTCTAAGGGTTTGCGATAATTGTTAAAAGACGAAAACATATATTGTTATTACCTTAATATTTGAGTCTGACATGTCGTATTTACTTTCTTCTTGCGTTTCGTCGTAGTCAGAGAAAATATGTGTTCTTTTTGACTGGAATGAAACAAATTTCAACAATAAGAACAATTAACAGAAACCAAATAAGCTGACAAAATCAACTTTACCAAGTTTACATCGCTTTGCGTGGATTCAAGCATATTTTAAATGAAATATTTTAAAGAGTACTCTTCGTTGCGCTAAGCGACGATGCTAATTTATGATAACAAAGGGTCAGTGTTAATTTAACCAATGAAATTACTGTATTTTGATACGACCTGCTGAATATAATAGATTATATCGAGCAACGTTTAGCCATTCAGGTAAAGCAACGAGAACTTTTTCACGATCCTTGGAAAGATGAATTTCATATGACAGTCCAATGTTTGCTTGATTTAAATTCAAGGATTACTGTCCAGCGTTTTCGTCAACCAGGAAAAGGAATAATAGAAATTTTTATTTGTAGCAAGTGGAAGAAGAAAGCTCTTGAGAAGGGAGTGATCCTGTTTTTTCATTTATATTAAAGTCACGCAACATATAAAGTTGAACGTGACGCGCTTAGACAAAACGGTAGACATTAACTGGCGCGACACATTTTTCATGAAAAAGAGCATTTTCTACGATAAACAACAAGATATTGATACAGACATGCTGTCGATTGAAATTACCCATATGAGATTGAAATTAACCAGATGTTTATAAGGGTAGGTCTTAGTTACCCATTTATACCCCAACTTAAAATTTTACCCCAATTTGAAATACAAAAGTGTTACTAGAATATGAAATGATATTGAAATTGGCTTTCCATTAATGATCGGAACCAACCTCCTCTATCTCTATGCTTTCACACTTACTGTGGATATTGTGAAGAGAATACTACCATGGAGTGCAGCTATAATAAGCAAATGAAATGAAAAAAAAAAATGACGAAAAAATGGAGGTGGCATTGGAGATGGTAATGGAGAGAAAGCAACAACAAGCGCTCAATTAACTTAGATCATCGGAAGATAGACAGCCCAAGAGAAATGTTTTGATATGTATGATATAAAAAGAGACCACAGGAACTTAAATTTTAAAGTTTGCAAAATAGTTATGAGATGAGTTATTTTAAGAAGCTGAGTGCTGGATAATAAAAAAAGGAGACTTTCATTGGAAGAACGGAGATACAATTGGCGATGCGCATTCTAGGTGAGCCATTGCAAAAAAATGACAATGATGACATCATGTAAAATTTGGGGTTGTATAAAGTCATAATAGAGATGATCAAGGAAGGAAGTTTAAGATGGTATGGGCCATTTGCATGTCACCAGGAAAACTAAGAAAGAACAAATTGAGATCATTTGGAAATAAAGAATTAAGGAAAGTTTGTGCAGAGGCATAAAGGAAGAGATAGCAAGATTTCGTAAAAGAATATTTAAATGATAAAAAAATTTACACCAGTTATGAAGACGGTTGGGAATCTCGGTCGAGAAAAATCGGAAAAGCCAAGATTAGGACAGGCTGAGAAAAGGGCTTCTTGGAAAATAGGGTCATAGCTCATTTGTGTATGAGTTATACTTGTTTTGTCAGTGGTCTACTTTGCACGGTGTTCTGCTTTGCCACTGAGAACAGGTTTCTATTCTGAAATTCAACCGTATTTTATAATCCATTTCTTCTCAGTTAGTTGTGATAAAATATTATTGATATCAACTTCTCCAATGAATGAAAATGCATTCAGCAGAGGGGCAATACATCATTACTTGGCCGTAGTTTTCAGACAATTGTCGTGAAAATTCAATAAAGAAAAAGTTGTTCTAAACAAGCAGACTATACTATTTAAAAAGAAATTAATATTCTGTCAAAGACATTAAGTTTTTTCTTTGGCACTTGCCGACTTGCGTAATAATTGTGCTTATCCTTTGACTGATAAAACTGTAAAAAAGTCTTCACAACATGTATGCATAAGTAAAGCTGTAGGTACAAATAAAATCGTTCTGAATAGATAATCAAAAACACATCTTAAGGTCAGTATTTCCATATATTACAAGTATAAATTTACGGTTACATAATGAGAAAGTTTATGAAATAAAATAAATGAAAACCTGATGTAAGAAACTTAGAGTAATTGAATTGATTTTTTTAAATAGAAAATATATGTTTCATAAGAAATTACGTGTTCTGAAGTATAGTTAAGATACTTTGAAATAGATTTAAGGCGCATTAAAAAGTTTCAAACTTTCGTTGTGCAGGCTTCATCTCTAGCAGTTAAAGCATAAGATTTTCTCTCGTTAGCCAATTTCCTCTTACGAAGAAAATACAGACATAAAATGATGAGACCAACCAAAAGAAATGTGGAAAGAGCAGGCAAACCAGCAACAAGGAAATATGACTTTGAGCTTTGCTTGGAGATTTATCTGAAAGAAATAAGACCCAGCTTCATCTAATACTTTGAAAAAGTTTCCGCCATTATTACTTCAGAAGACGTATTTCATGCATTGCTTTCGAAGTGCATAAATTTGAATTATTAATATAAAACTGAGCTTAATATGTGGATGTCTTCGTTACTTATTCAAAGAAATGGTAGATACAACGACTTTATATAGACCTTATAAAAATTTAGTTAAAAACTATACATGGATTGTATTTGTATACACGAATGAATAATTTACAATGCCTACTACCTACCACTATTGTTTAGACATAAATGGTATTGCATATTTTCCCAAGATGAAGACATCGACCTTCTTCTGAGCAAGTTCGATTTCTTACTTTTATGTTGCTGCTATCATTTATGAAGCAAACACTCCATTTGCTCCACTCGTGATAAAATTCTAAATTGTTTAAAAATAGAAAACACGAAATTACCTAGTTTTTCAGCAAAAAGTTCAAGATAATATTTGCCAATGCAAACTACAATCTGCCTTTTAAAATCATTCTTTGCATATGGTTCAATTAACTGATCAATTGACTCAGCTATAACTGTAAATAATTATGTATTAAAATTATAATTGTTGTGCTATTTGAAGGAAAACTTAGTTCAAGAAGTCAGATGGTATGTCAGCTTATGCTAACATATTAGCTTAACAAATAAAGTTACTTATTTGAAAGAATATTATCGCAGATGTCATGGGTTCCAATCCCGTTGAGTCACCTGAATTTTTCAGATTCATAAGACAATTGCTTAAATTGTTCAACAAAGTGCGAAGATCATATCTTCATTTAAAGTTACTTATTGTTAAAGATTTGATAAAGAGTAACTATTGCACGATTTTTCTATTGAATTAAATAATCAAAAGCAAATGTTTCAATGATTCATATGTGGTTTTCAAACAAACAAGCAGAATATGTAGCAAAATGTTTTGCAATTTAATTATTAATGCACCAGTTTTCATTTTACGTCTTCTAATATTTAGTATAGCCGCTCCAAGTCAAAAATTATGTAATTTGAAATAGATCATTGGCTTTTTTTGGAGATGGAAAATACCGTTTATACAGAAATGTTTTTGCTTAGGTAAAACAAGGACCACGTAATATTGATAATTGGGGTGTGTGTGTGATATTCATATATACAAGTTCTACTTTAGTAGTTTACAATGAAATCATTTGTGGCTATAGATTAACACGGATTAAAACAAACGAATAACTGAATACACACAGCTTCAATTACGATCTTGCGCATTAAAATGCAAAATTTGCAAAACTGACATACCTTTATCACAAGACTCATGTTCTAATGTGTCTCCTAAATGACGACATCGGTCTTGTTCAGAGCAATTTCGATATCTTTCTTTTGTGTATTTACGATTTTTCTTGAAGCAAACACTCCATTTGCTCCATTGTTCATAATATTCTATAACAAAGAGCAAACAAGCTCAACACCAAAGCCTTACAAGCATCAATCGTCAAATAGCCTCTTATAACTAAAAATAAAAAATTGCATTCAAAACGAGACAAAAACAATTCAACGTAGAATGTATAATTATGCATGATAAATACATCAGTAGATTTTAAAAGAAATGGATGTAAACCGGAAAAGATGGCGACAAGATTTTAGAACAACACGCAAATAGAACAAATTTTTGTTTCGTAAAAAAGCATCTCATTGAATTCAATGTCCGAAAACTAAATTAGTCTAGTTATTGCATACAATCTAAATCATCTCCTAGTTATTACGTTAACTGATTGATGTGTTTTCACATCAAAATAGGAGCCAATGGATAGTCAACCCGCTTAGTTACTCCTACTATATCCATATTTTACTTAATGTTAAAATAACAGATTTTTTAATAAATAAATCATGTTACTGTTCTAAAACTTTAATAGAGCAGGAATATTACTTACTGGATAAACACGACACTGAGCGGAACAATATACTGACAATTTCAGCAAAAGCCCTTGCTCGCAATATTTTACAATATTTTCAACATATTGTTCAATTTCTCATTATTTTAAAAATTACTAACATAAAAACGTTTTCAGATGTTTTAAGACTTTAACAAATAAATAATATAATTCATCACATTACATAACTAATTTCTACTAAGCATTTGTCTAATTAATTGAAAACGCTTTAATAGGTTATTTTCTTTTTGTACACTTGCTGTTGCAATTTTTTTTTCTTTTATATTTGAAACAGGAAAATATCTCAGTTAAAATAAGGAATGAATACTATGTACGCATTACAACTTTATAAAAATACAAAAGATAAGATATGTTTATATAATTACGGTTAATTTATATCACTGTGTAAACGAGCTCAAACACATACCTACCATTAACGCACGTTTTATAGTGCACGTCCTAACCAATGTAACAAAATGGAGTAAAAATTATAATTATGCTTTGTACTTTTACTAGGTACAAAAAAACGTTACCTAGCTCTAGCTAAGTTGTGTTGGCAAACAATAAAAAATTCTGCACAACTCTGTTTTTAAATAATAAAATTATGTACTTACCATTATTGCACGTTTCATAGTGTACGTCTTTACCAATGTGACGACATCGACCTTCTTCAGAACAAGTTCGATTTCTTACTTTTGTATGATTTTCACCATTTTTAAAACAAACACTCCATTTGCTCCATTCTTTATAAAATTCTATATGCAATAAAAAACTTTCAGTTTAGGATGGGAACATGCATGAAAAATCACTATGAAAATGACACTTTCATTTTGTATGGAGGATACAACTTTGAGTGAACCAATAACCAATATACATCACGATGCATGGTGTGCAATGAAATC